CTGGGTCTTGGGTTGCCAGTTTGTGCGGGTCCCTGCTCCTCCCATTGTGATGATGAGCAAAAGGAAACACTGCCATTGTACAGTATTTTCTAGTTGTCAGTACCTCATCCTGCCTTTATCCAGTGTTTTAAATTTTCTTGTGTGTTCTCGTGGGTCTTATGCAAGGAGCTGTAATTGTTCACAGGGAAGTGATCTAAATGGGTGCACATCTCTTATTTCTGCCTTGTTTTCTAACTGTTCTTAGTAAAGAGCAATAAGACTACAACTGATCTCAGTCACACCGGGGAGACATTATTTCACTGTGTTGGAAATCTGGGAGACAGGATGCAATCAGTGAGGCAGTGAATGTGGTTAGTGCAGGGATGTAGGACAAGGCTCTACCCTAGAGAAAACCTTGGTGGAACACAGAAGTCTGTGTCACAGGCCTCTGAGTTCTCAGATCTCCAGGATGATTAGCCTCACTCTTCATTCTTACACATATTGGAGTCCAGGTCCCTTGCTGATCCAGAACGTGTGGGCTGTTTTAGGACTCAGTTTTCATGGAGGACGTAGCTGTGGTCTTTACTTCTGAAGAATGGAGTTTGTTGGATCTTCCTCAGAGGAAACTCTACAGAGATGTCATGCTGGAAACTATGGGAAACTTGGCCTCAGTAGGTAAGAATGACATCATTTTAAAAAAAATTATTCCTTTAGTGAAGTAAAATATTTTGTTTATCGCCTTTACTCCAGTATTTGGGCTGAGAAATGGAAATAAATTGTTAAATAAGATGGTCATGATTCCTTGGTCTCTGGAACTCACATATCCTGGCTTCCCCATGAACATAAAGCTCTATGCATTTAAGTGACCTTTCATTTCTTTTATGATTAAAAACCCTGAGGCTCTTTATGTGTTTTATTTGTAAACATTGACTTGAGGGATCACTTTGGGAACCTGAGAGATTTGTAGGTTAGAACCTCTCAAAAGAGTTTTACTGTGTTGATTACAAGCTTGACATGCTTACATTAGTGCAGATACACTCACCGTGTCTATCTTCAGAGACCCTGAAAAGAAACATGATGACCAAGCATCAAGGAAATGTTCATTACTGTTTTGCCTCATGGTAGTCATTTCTCCTTGAGCACCCTATCAGCACTACCTGTTGGTTTTCCCAGAGAAGACGGGGAAAAATCAGGAAATAGTTGATATAGGACTCATTGATGGCCACCTTGTCAGCAAGCACCAGAAGAATAAGAGTGTTTTTGAAGGAACAAACCTGCAAGGAAGGAATTACGTTGCAATCAGTCAGCTAGAAAAACTCTCTTTTGGGTTGAGGACACAACTCAAATACCTGAGCTTACGTTTCTTGCCTTTAGCAATCCTTTCACCCTTGTGCTCATGGAGTCCCTTTCCCTGTGTCATTGTTACGTGTGTATTGTGTCTTCTACTTAGCGCTCACAGTTACAGGTATTTATAGCAACATCACTGTCAATCCTCATGTAAATAATTCCCATTAAATTACTTTTTAATTATTTTTAATATAATTAATTACTGGGTTAGGGTTGGGCATGGTAAATGGGGAATGAAACTAAATGTACACGTAATATTGAATGTAAAACAAACTCTTAAAATAAATTAAATAAATAAATGGGTTTTTAACCATTGCCAAGGTGTTGCATCAGTGAAATGCTGCAAAAAGTTTCCTTGACCAGAGACATCAATTGGCAAATGAGGGCAACTACAAAACAAAACGAGGGAAAAAATAGTCTAGTTACAGAACTTCTAAATGGTGAGGAAGTCAAGAGAATTGCAAGGTAGAATGGACTGTTCTAAACTGGGGGAGAAAATTATAAATTGCATGGTAACCTCAAAGAAAAATGATAAACCTTGGCATCACAATAAAAGTTTCCGTTCCCCATGATAAAACTTTTCCTTTGCAGTCTTTTTTCCCCCTAATAATTTTTTGCCTTTTTGTTTCATATTGTGAACTTCAACCTGAATTATTGAATCAGTCTCTCAAAACCTTAATGAAGGAGAAAACTTATCTAGTGAAGATATGATGATGACCTTCATAAAGAATAACACCTGGTCCTCCATGATAGGAGAAATCTCCAAACTGAATGGCAGTAGAGATCAACATAAAAATCAGAGTGGGCTTTTGGGGTGAGTGTCACTCAAGCATAGGAAAAGCATGTATTAGAAGAAAGTCCTAAGATGATGAAACATTTTAATGCATGCATATGTATTTACATATATATTTAAGACTCAGTTCCAGTCGTCACAGTTCATCAGTTGCCTACAGAAGTGAAGACAGCGTATCCATTGTGTCACAACTACATGTGTTGGATTTTGACCCAAGTAAGTCACAGTCAGTGGAGCCCTCCTTAGAGATGGAGACTTACCAAGTTGAATGTGTGTCACTCTCCAGAGTGCTGCTAAGACTCAGTTTCCCCATATATCCCAAAAGTTTAATGAGTCGTATGCAAGAGATTGGATTATTTGACATACTGTGGATATTGACACCCATTCATGGTGTCATGGTTGTCTGCTTCCCTAAGCAGGGCGCTGCTGTTTGTTTACTGCTTGGGTCAAAATGAGAGTGGCAACAGATTGCGTTGCTGTGTAATGTCTACCCTGCCCTCATGGACAATTGTGAAACCTTTGGGAGCCAAAGCCATGATAAATATTGGTATTCCAATGTTTATATAAGAGCTCTGGTGGCACAGTGCCTAAGGCATTTGCTAACCAGAAGGTTGGCGGTTCAAACCCACCAGCCGCTCCATGGAAGGAAGACAAGGAAATCTACTGTAAAGATTTACCACCTCAGACCCCTAGTGGGGGTTGCTATGAATCAGAATCTATTCAAATTACAGTGAGTTTTGTGTTAATATGTATATATGTTAATATATATATATAATGCTAGCTGTAAAATACCAAGTTGTGACAATTTTAACAAACACTTTCTTAACTTTGATTCACCAATGAGCATTTGAAACATTTCACTTGCAGTTATCAGTAAGCCTCATATTTTAGAAAAACAGTAAAAGTAATGGTGATATTTCTGTTAGATAATTTCAGCTGTGAAAATTGCAACAAGACAGGACAAAAACAAATCACATTCACTGTGTTTGGTAATGGTGAAATGGGAACAAATTTATTTCCAACAGCATGTTGCCTGTTATTAAGAGAAATCCTGAAGCAGAGAACTTCTTCAAAAGTAAAGAAGGCCATCAGTGTGGGAACACCTTCAGCCTGAGGCCAGATCTTACTGTGCTACAAAGAAATCGTCCAGAAGTACATCCTTTTGAGTGCTGTGCGTGTGAGAAAGCCTTCATGGATCACACATCATGTAACTGTCATACCACATCTCAAACTGGATGCGGTACTGGTCACTGTAAGACATGTGGAGAAGCCTGCAGTTATCCCTCTCCCCTAACCGCTCCTGTGAAAAATCCTCATGAAGGTGAGGTGTATGGGAAGGATGTCATTTGTATCTCAAACCTTAAGAATCATGTGACAGCATTCAGTGGTGAGAAATGTGAACATAACGATGGTGGGAAAGATTTCTGTAGTTTCTCCTCCTTTTGGAATTCCATGAGTGGTCATAAGTTTGAAGGTACAGAATGTTGTAAAACCTACAGTCGTCCTTCACCCTTAATTTTACATAAAACATTGCGTAACAGAGGTAAGCCATATGAATGTAAGGAATGTGGAAAAACCTTTACTCGGTCCTCAAACCTCACAATACATAAAAGAATTCATGAGGGAGAGAGGCCATATGTATGTAAGGAATGCGGGAAAGCCTTCAGGTGTTCCTCACACCTCACCACACATATAAAAACTCACAATGGGCAGAGGCCATATGAATGCAAGGAATGTGGGAAAGCTTTTAGTCAGGCCTCATCCCTCACTCAACACAGAAGGACTCACAGTGGAGTGAGGCCTTACGAGTGTAGTGAATGTGGGAAGGCCTTTAGTCAGTCCTCAAACCTAACCATACATAGAAGAATTCACAGTGGAGAAAGGCCTTATAAATGTAACGAATGTGGGAAAGCCTTTAGTTATTCCACAGCCTTCAGTAACCATAGAAGAACTCACAGTGGAGAGAAGCCTCATGTATGTAAAGAGTGTGGGAAGGCCTTTGGTCTTTCTTCACACCTCATTGCACATATGAAAACTCACAGTAGTGAGAGGCCACATGAATGTAAAGAATGTGGGAAAACCTTTAGTCGTTCCTATAGCCTCTCTGAACACATACGTATTCACACTGGAGAAAGGCCTTATGAATGTAAGGAATGTGGGAAAACCTTTAGTCAGGCCTCATCCCTCACTCAGCATAGAAGAACTCACAGTGGAGTGAGGCCTTATGAGTGTACGGAATGTTGGAAAGCCTTTAGTGATATGTCAGCCCTCACTCAACACATACGAATTCACAGTGGAGAGAAACCTTACAAATGTAAGGAATGTGGGAAAGCCTTTAGTTATTCCTCAGCACTCAGTAACCATAAAAGAACTCACAGTGCCCAGAAACCCTATGAATGTATAGAATGTGGGAAAGCTTTTCATCGTTCCTCACACCTCCTTGTACACACGCAAACTCACAGTGGAGAAAAGCCTTATGAATGTAAGGAATGTGGGAAGACATTCAGGTGTTCCTCACACCTCACTACACACAGTAGGACTCACAGTGGAGAGAGGCCTTATCAATGTGATGAATGTGGCAAAGCTTTTACTCAGAGCTCAGCCCTCATTATACATAAAAGAACACACACTGGACAGAGGCCTTATGAATGCAGGGAATGTGGCAAAGCCTTCAGTCAAGCCTCCAACCTCACGAAACATAGAAAAACTCACAGTGGAGGGGCCTTATAAATGTGACGAGTGTGAGAAAACCTTTGGTCTTCCCTCATATCTCACTTCATTTATAAGAATTCACAGTGGAGAGATTAGTGTATGTAAAAGTAAGATTTTTCATCTTCACTTCTGTAAATTCAAACAGCTAATTCCCAATAGTCTATGTGTTAAAAACACTTTTTCAGTGCATAACACAGCAATACCAACTCAGTGATAGGAACTTTCTAGCTGCTTTGTGCCTTTGGGAGAAACGACATTTTGCTTATAACTGCAGGATCTTCATCCATGTTTGTTACTTTACAGTTCTAAGCTAGGTTTTACCTTTCTAACGTCTCTTGCTTTTATAAATAAGGCTGCAGGGAATAGTTATTCATAAGGTTTTCATTGGCGAGGTCTTTCAGAAGTGCGTGACCCCATCCTATTTCCCAGACTGTCTTAGTGTGCAAGCTCTCCTGAAACCTGTCCACCATGGGTGACCCTGCCAGTACTTGAAATACCAGTGGTGTAGCTTCTAGCCCCACAGTACCACGTAAGCCACCACAGTATGACAAACTGATAGATAAATGGTGGCAACAAAAGCCTCTGGCTGTTATCAGTAAGGATTGAGGGAATAGTCTTGAGGCAAAGTGGTTTTGCATTTCATAATATTATTGGTATTGTATTACATACAGTTAAACTTACTCAGCTTATATTTGGTTGTAGAGAGATTTGTTTTCATGTTTAAGGCATTTCCTTCCATTCTGTCCTATTGTAAAATTAGCTGTTTTTCTCTTTTTAGTTAGTAAGAGTCTTACCAGGCTCTGCTTTGAGACTGTGCAAATACTGTTTTTCATTGTACTTTGACCTACTTATTTTAATATCTCCCAATCATCATTACCTGTGGTTATTATTACTATGCTGTTTCCCAAATACTGATTTCCATTGCAATCATTTCTTCTCTATTTATTAAATGGAATTCTGCAAAAAATGGCTCGTTCTCCTCTTCCCTTACTTTATTTATCAAAGTGTTTATAACAGTACAGGGAGTCCCTGGATACACATGAGTTCTGTCACTTAAATCTTTAAGTCAGATTTGAATTTAAGTGTGAACAATTAGGTATGGTTTGTGTCTAACTTCAGTATTCACGTGTTTATCCTAGTATACAGTATACATTTCTATGCATAAAAAACATTAAAGATATACTTCCAGATATACTACAACATCTTTTTTTTTTAAGGAGTTAGTTTGCATATATTCTTTTTTTTAATTTAAATTTTATTTTGATTTGGGTGAAGATTTACAGATTAAATTCACTTTTCATACAGCAGTTCACATATACTTTGTCTCATGTCATTGACCAAAATTTACAATGCA